ATAATAATAATAATAATAATAATAATAATAATAATACACAGAGATAACTTTCTGAGTTTTCAAAAACTGTCTCTTTACCTATTCTTTTTTTTAATTTTTATTTTTTGGTCTTTTTGAGATAGGGTCTCTCTCTAGCCCAAGCTGTCCTGGAACTCACTATGTAGACCAGGTTGGCCTTGAACTCACAGAGATCTGCCTGCCTCTGCCTCCTAAGTGCTGGGACCTCAGGTGTGCGCCACCATGCCCAGCACCCCATTCTTTTTTAAAATTATTTATTTAATAACCAGATGATTAGAAGAAGCATTTCATTACAGCATTAACATAGTCAATAACAATTTCCAGAGCAAAGAGGCATCTCTTTCAAAATTGGCTGTAAATCTTTAGGTTTTTAACCATTCTTGTATCCATTCTGTGCTGATTTAATTAGAGAATCTCTACATGCTATGCCTGGTACTGAAGATCCCAGTCACAATTTTTACATTTACTCTGCCTTTTTCACTGCGTTTTCTCTCTCCTCAGCACTTGCCACTGTTTGTCTTATAACACTCCACTCACTTACCAGCTGTCACATTAACTCACTAAAGTATTATTGACATGATAGCTCAAAGAATAAAAAATGATAATCATACAAATTCTTTCAAAGAACAGGATATAGAAGAAATGCTCCCTAACTTACTTTACTAGGCTTTACAACCTCACATTAACAAACCAGTGAGAATGTTATGAGAAAAAGTAAGGACATACATAGAAAGTCCTCAAGAAACTACTAACAAAGCCAGCATACACATTAAAGTCAAATGTATTGCAGAAATGTGAGTCTGTTTAAAATAGGGATATGACTCAATACAACTTTATGTATTTATAAAGGAGAAGAATCATAGAATATATCAATTGGATGTGGATTTTGAATATTTTGTATTTTATTAATTTCTTATTTACTTTTGCTTTATGTCTTAGGAAAAAAATGATCATTTTACTCTGGTTTTCTGACACATTACTACGTTGCTCAATAATTATAATTATATACTCGTTAATTATAAAAGGAAGTATCTTTGCTTTAGCATTGGCCACAAACCAAAAGCCAGAAAACATGTAACATAATAATTATTTCCTTTTTGGAAAAAGTCACGTTTCATTTTGTTTTGGATCCAGGGATGGCCACGATGCTGCTGTGCTCCCCTTATCCACTGAGGGTGCTCTCCAAATGCCCAGTCAATGTCTGAGACAGCTAACAGGAAGCACTAATGCTTCAAGTTCATCTGACAGCCAAAATGGCTTCCATGAAACTAACAAGCAGGTCACATAAAATGGAAACATATCATAAAGGGATGACTTGTACCCTGGGTGAGATGGCAAGATTTCATCATACTTCTCAGATGGGTGCACAATTTACACTTTCTGAACTGCTTCTAGAATTTTCCATTTAATATATTTAGATACTTGGCCCCAGGTACAAATCTGTGGAAAGCAGAGAGTAACAGAAGACTTATACAACAATAAATCCTAGTATGATGGCACTCTGTTTAAATAATGGTTTTATGTTTATATGACTTCTTTGTATTTTTTAATTAATTCATATTCTCTATTTTAAGATTGTTATAGTTTAAATGTTCCCCACACTTGGTCACCAGCTGGTGGCACTGTTTTGGGAGGCTGTAGAAACTTTCGGACATGAAACCAGGCTGGCAGATGTAGGGCTGTAGAGGTGGGCTTGAGGCTTATAGGCCTGGCTCTGCTTCCTGCCTAAGCCTTCGCTGCTTCCTGACAGGCTCCATATAACCAGCTCCCATGGCCAGATAACAAGCTGCTCCCTCACTACATCCTCTCCTGCATGACGGACCATCCCCTCTGCACTATGAGCCAAGTTAACAGTCCTCTATTAAATTGCTTCTGTTAGGTATTTTGTCACAGGAATGAAGAAAATAATCAAAGGCTCATAAGTATATTTTTAATCGTGATAGTTATAATATTTAACTTCTCTATATGAAGCTATTTACTGCTTATCCATGTATCACAGATAAAAAATGTTTTCAAAATTTCCCTAGTTTTGTCCATTTTTCCTTGAAGTTAAAATAAATTTGGTTTATGATTATACCAAATGCCTCATAATTCGGTAATTCAAAGGGTATAACTGTGATAGCATCCATTAACTTGTAAATGCAATCAAATTGATACACCTTCAGCTAGTAAGCGTTTTTGCCTTAAACTCCACTGTTTATTACATCTCTACTATCAGCATGCTGAATTTTAGCTTGGCTCCAGCCTGGCCTGGAACTTGCAGTTCTCTAGCCTCAATCTCCCAACTGAGGCTCTGTGTGATTTCTTCATAGTTTAGACTTATGTTCCCAGCTTTATTTTCATACTTTCGCTGGATCACTTGCTCTGCTACACCTATGCCTTTCTGCCATATCCAGAGACCAGGTGCTGGGCAT